AGCCCTTCATTGTGTGAAAAGACATCGGCCAGTCCATGCATTGCAAAATCGTTGTCCCCTTCTTAGCAAGTGTGTCAGCAAGCTCATTGCCTTTAATGCCACAGTGACCAGGATTCCATTGTAGGACCACTGTTTTGTTTTTCTCTCTCAGCAGCTCATAGAGTTTTCTACAGCTGTTTTGGGTGGCTCTCTCTTTCCAATTGAGTTTATTGCTGACTGTGAGTCCGAAAGTATCACCACTTTGGTGAATTTCGTATCCAGGCAACATAACTGGCATAGTGATATCCTAATGGCCTCTATTTCTCCTTCAAAAGCGAATCTATTGTGTCCCACTGCTGCGTAGAAAGAGAAGAGTTCAGAATAAACACCTGCACCAACGTTTGCTTGGTATTTTATGTATGACCCATCAGTGAAGACTTGGAGCCATTGATCACCAGGATAGTTGACATTGATGGTCTCAAGGGCCAGTGAGCGCATTTGTTCTGGAGGGGTGTTTGATTTCCTGAAGAAGTCAAGCAGTTGGGTACAACACACTACATCAGTGTCAGCTAATGGGTTCATGGGTAGAGGGAGGCTTTTTGGTTTGTCATCGATTTGTAATGTTTTCTTCAGTTCTATGGCTTTCTGTATTAGACCAGAATATCCTGAATTATTATTTTTGGCTAAAGCACTATACATTTTGGTGAGAACGTTCTCTAATGAATTATCGATTACCTTCCTAAAGTGCGTTAAAAGTTGACCGAAGTTTACGACGTGGCAGAAGTGCATTTTTGCGAGATAGCACTCTAAGTGAAGTTCTAAAATCTCGTTTTTTGGATATATTTTAGTGTTAGCTGCTCACAGAAACCTTCGCTGTTTTACCCCTCACTAAACATTATAAGGGCTTTTTTGGAGTAGTTTTATTGCTCGACGCTAAGATTTTGGAGAATGTGGAACAATTACACGACCTACGTTTCAAAGTGAACTTTAAGCGAAATAATTTGAAATTTATAACCTGATTAGGAAATGGTTCATATTTTGCTGTTTTACTGGTATGGCCATTTCGCACTTTGAGCTAAAAAGTAGTCCTTATAAGTGAAAAATGTATCTTCATATTTGTCGATCTACATGGCCATTCTATATTAAGGTAGATCTGAAACAAGCTAACTCTGTTCTCTTATTGATCTGTTCGTCCATCATTTGTAAAACTTTTCATTATAAAAATTGATCGAAATATCAATTTGGGGAGGGGGGGGGAGTAATAAAATAAACCTCTGACCTAGCTGGCTCAGTCTCAGAAAAATGAGTTAGGAGGAAAAATCGCGCCAGATTTAAGATGAATCGTATAGACTGAAAAATGCTCCAATAAAAATTGGAGTTCATGGGAACGGTAAACAAAAGGACTATTCATCAAATTACGGAATACCTGAGTTGGCATTTCCAAATACCAAGAGAGAAATATAATAAACAGTGGTTAATAAGTGTGCATAAGTGTTGGATTCAAAATGTTTCAATAAGGGAATTCTGCGATAGTATGAGATTAGGCGAAATATTTATTTTTTTATTAGGCTGAAAATGCATAATGAGCAAAATATGTACAGAATATTAGTAAATAATTGGAATTCACTATATAATCCATCAAGGAAAACCTGGACTAGTTAAGTGGCTTTATATTTGTCTAACAGGTGAATTAAGAATGTTCATTCAGTAAAATAGACATAGATTCAATAATCCCCGTGAAAATTGTGTGGGATCGCTTTTTTTGTATATTTTTTTTCATAATCTACTTCTAAGTTTTGGAACTGATTTTCTGCGTACTTCTAGGCTTCACTAAAATGTGAGCTTGAGAGGAAGCGTGAACAACTGATAGTGCCCATTCATCTTCTCCAGTCATTTCTTTCCCAAAAAGAGATCGCAACTTATCGGCTGGCTCAGATGCTAATTGTGCAGCTCAGTAAACATAAAATCAAAAACACTTAGTGGCCAAAAAAGCCAACTAAGGAATTATTTAGTCATAAGCCAAATTCATCCGAAGAATTTATGCAACAATATGCGACTCAGAGGATCAGGAATATGTACTATTTAAGCTACATTTTTTCTGTTCCAAGCCTTATGAATTTCTGAAGCGGTTTCAGTTGACGTTTATTAAAACCCTTTTCCTGGACAATTAACCAGTCACAAACGCTTCACTAAAACATACTTGAATGAACACAACGAAAAAATCACACTACTACTTAAAAATGCAAAGATAGGATGGGAATGTTTCACGCTCATAACAAACAGCACCAATGAAATTCCAGTTTTTTACGAAAGGCTAAATAAACCAAGACTTTTATTAAATTAAATAAGACCGAAAGTTCATTAAAATTCCTAAAATTTATTCACATATCTGATAAAAAGTTTTCTTTTGCCCTTGCTAGTTACTTGCGCAATTCACTTTTCACGTGAAAGTTTGTAACTGCGAATTTTCATCATCTATTGAAGTTAAAGTAAATTAAATAACTGAACGAATTTCGATTATCAATAGCAATATTATTATGAAAATATTTTTGCCTTGACTTATTTGAATATGAAAGTTGCGTGTGTCCAAATGCAAAGCATTTCGAATGAAAAGCATTTCAGGAGGGACCGACCTTACATAAATCACACGGAGAGTCCTTCGGGATCAAAGGCGTTCATGTAGAGGTTGTAGAAAGGGGAGAAGAAGCATAGAGAGGGAGAGAGAGAGTGAGAGCAAGTGTACGGCAATGTCAAATATTCCACAAGCATATCAGAAAGGAAGGAGGCTAGATTTTACTCAGAAATAAATTTGCAAGTAACAATGTGCATAGATTGAATCTGCTTATTAAAAAACAAATTCCCATAGAGCATATATAGAGTATGTGTCAACTGGAAACCCCGAAACGATGGAAAAAATAAATATTGGAGCTATCCCTTTTATTTCATCTTATTGCTTACCAAAGAAGGACTCAGATATAATTTGTTGTGAATTGTCTTGCTGTGGTGGAACATCCCAAGAACATCGTGTCAATGGGGGCATGCAAACATGATAATTAATAGTTAATAACAAATTGACATAAAGACAGCCATCAAATATTCTTTTATGGAGGTCATACCGTGAAAAATTGTTTTGTGTCAGGATCTGTCAAAACAACCTAAGTATTGTCAATTATCATATTGTTTTAACCTTCATTTCGAAGTAAGCTGAACAAAAAAATAGGCAAGACCAATTGAACAATTGAAATTTTGCGACTTTTCTCGATTGTCTACGAGGATAATTAATAAGTGCTTTCCATTTATTGATTTTTGTTGAATTTTTTAATTATATGAAACATTTTAAAATAAGTAAATAAAATGGACATCCAAAAACGGAAAAAGCATTAATAGGTATGGTACGAATATGAATAAGTTTTCAGCGAAAGCGCACTCTCCATATCCATAAATAGGACAAAATAATTGCACGTCTTCAAAGAATCAATATTAGAGTGTCGAGTTAATTAACGATTTGAATGTCATAAAAGACATATACTAATAAAATTTTGTTGATCGTAGACGTTCAATATCTTTTTTTACTAATAGGTCATTTATATCATTGAAATAAACAAATGGCTATGAAACCTATTTAAAATAATATTTGCAGCTTAATGTAAAATTATTTATAAAAATAAAGAAATATAAATTATAAAGCCAACATTTTTATTGACCAAGAGGTCCTTAGCCTTTTCTACTTTCGATTGGTTCATTAATTTTGTGCGCCATACTTTCGTCTGTTAGTTTGTGGGAGTTTTTAATGTAAGTGCTCGCGTACATTTTTTGGTTTTGATAATTTAAGTGTTAGTTGAGGTATTCACGTTCAGAAAATCTCTCCGTTTATTCAAATAATATAAGTTCTATATCAAGTGCGACATTTAATATGGTGTACGGAACTATGGAAATTCGCTTTTCTTTCCATTGCCGCTTTTATTGCGATCAAGGCGCTTTAGGTTTTGATGTGTTTGTATTTACATTTGTGTCCAATAGTCTATTTATGCATTTTAGATGCAGGTTGGAACTGCAACCTCTACAGCCAATCCAACGTCCGAGTACATAAATAGTACTGGAACTTGGATAACTTATCTCCTGCTTATTGCCGGCTTTCACCTCATCCTTCTTTGTATTCCATTCCTTTCAGTTGCATCAGTGTGGACACTTACCTGCACTTTGCACAATGTCGTAAGTAATTCAATATCCGAATATTAATAATAAAGTTCAATTCATTTACGCATTTTGGGCGTCACTTCTTTTAACCAAACATCCGCCCGCCTTAGAATTGATTTTTCATCATCCTTTACTAATTTTCTTCTATTCGATTTTTACAGTTTAAAAATGCGTCCATATATGTTGCGATTATTGATACGGTGCTTGTGTCAATTTTTTATTTTTTTCCTGTTCTTTTCGTTTTTTGGTTTCATTTTGAATAAAAAAGGGTGTTTTAGTTTTTTATAATTGTCATCAACTTCCTTCCCGTTTTCTGTTTTTTATATCAGTTACGTTGCTTTGTAAAATTCAAACATTGCTTTCACTTCTAATCACTTTTCAATTAACCTTTTAGTCACTCACTTAAACCTTATGAGGGTTCTTTTAAAGTACGTTAAATCATATTTTCACGAAAAGTCCATTGTATAAATTTCCTACATTGCTTGTACTTTTACGGTTATCCCGCATTAAATCATGCTTTTAAAACTTTTTATTTCAATTTTAATTAACAAGTAAACTAATGTTTTATTATTTGCTAAGAACATTTTAGAGTATTCTAAAATTAATTGTTCGGAACCACTTCAAAATTGCCTATTAAAGTTTCACTTTTGTGCCGAAATTTTTATGGAGATTTCTGCATGGGAATATCATTATCTAATTCAAATGTTTATTGTTGGGTTTGCGATATGCATCATGTACCTATCGGGCATTTCTTTAAGAAATTGAGCTGACTTCGGTTGTATTTAGTGTGTTATATCTACTAATTCTTGCTCTTTTTAAGCCCATTCGCGTAGACATGTCTATTGATTACTGCGTCCTCTGCATTTCGCACTCATTAAATACGATCTCTTTTGGCCTGTCTTAGTTTATGACTGAAATGACTGCCTATTCTAAAAAAATTGAATGAAAGTTTATGAGGGAAAATAAACAGGCATTCATTTGATATTGTAATACATATCGCCAACTTAGCTCCCAATGAGATGCAATATTGACCACCTATCATCTAGTTTTGCAATTGACATATTTTGTCAAAAGTGGACAGTGCTAAGTGAGTATATTGGGTTGTCCATTCAAACATATTTAGGATGATATGTGTATTACAAACTCCTTCATCGCCAGCCCAGTGATCTACACTTTTATCAAGTTAAAGGCCTTGAAATAGATACTCGTCAGTACGCCTTCAGTTATGCGGATCACCAACCGCATGGGGAGGTTCTGGTCTATAAGAAGGGTTTTAGGATGTTAATATCTCATAAAAATATTTCTAGCATGCTTTCTCACGCCCTAATTCAACAATTTCCCTAATGAGCCGTTTTTATAGACTTCTCTCTTATTCGTTATTATGGAGAGATCCAAAGTGTTTCTTATGCCAGCTCCCATTATATGATATCTTGTCCACTTATCTTTAGTTGACATATCTCATATTGCATTGGGAGAAAGGCAGCCCCTACGAAACTCTGGACCAGGGTGAAGCTCGTGTTTTAACTCAGTGGGAGCAGTTTGACGATGGAGAACAGTACTCACCCACCAAAAAGTTCCTTCTTGTTGTTCCTATTATCATGTAAGTGTGTCCTTGTTTGAATGCTTAGCTTTTGACTCAGTTAGTAGTTTGCCACCCTCTTTAATCCATTCAAATGTAGCATCTATTGGTACATTCTGTTTAATACATTTCCATAATAGCCTAGCTACTTAAATCTGTAAATAAGTAGCAATTAAAGTTAGTCCTTTATTGCAGATTCATTCTTGCAAGTTTCTACACTCAATACGATCCAATCCATTTTGTAATCAATGCATCAACTCTCATTTTGCTGAGTATTCTTCCAAAACTGCCACAATTCTACCGCGTCCGTGTCTTTGGAATCAATCGGTGGTGATGAGTCAATCCTCGCTAATCAATACGGCATGAGAATACACACATTAGAATGAACACTCTCTTTGCTTAGTTTTCTTCCCCGGATTTGACTTGTTTTTCTGCACACAGCTCTTCGTGCTTTGTCTGATTTGTTTATTTTTTCTGAAGTCTTGCTAATGAGCACGATTTTTTTCATAATTATTACTTTCTATTCTCACTAACTTCACCATTCCAGTTTTGTTTTGAGATAGGAAATACTTGTTAATATGTTGATTCTGATATTCTTTCCGGCAATGTTTTAAATAGTAGTTGTGCTTTTGTACGGATTCGGCGAAATACTGTTAAGTAGTGGGAATCAAAATATCTGTTAAGAATGAGTAGCGACAGTTGCCAAATCCCTTTTGAAGGAAAGGGCTTTGGCAAGGTCTATCTTCTGTTATTCACTTGGTTACTCTTAATGAGCACAGCAATTTAATCTATTTGCAGGATATCGACCTTATGACCTATTAATCTGTTGATTACCAAGTTTGCCGCAACATATTTTCCTTGGTTTTATTACTCATCGAAACGAGAAAAAAAGTATTTTTTGTACTTTAGATGTGGAGATTCTGATTTAAGAAGAAACAGATGCTTTTTTAACAGAGTCCCAATATGCAATAGGCAATGTAAATTAAGTACACGTTGAGTCTAATAGTCGCAATTTAAATAGTTTATTTATTTCAAATGGCAGGCGTTTTGATAGCTGTCATTAGCCATTTAGCTGACTTCGGGCTTCACAGAGAGAAGGTTCATCAAAGTAGCAGAAAGTCGAGGGGTGGGGAAAAGAAGAGCGATTCACAGATGTAAAAGAGGCAGACAGACACAAAGGCAGAGAAAAAGATGAGATGCGTACTGTGAAAGCGGTCGAATATGACAAGCAGTCGTGCCATGGTATTTTGAAGTCAGAAGTCAACCGCCGGTTAATAGACTTTTTTGCCGTATGAGTATACGTTGCCCAGGGTGCACCACGTGGAGGTAAGTCTATCGAACACTCCGCAATTTAAATAGTCACCTTGTCGAATTTAGCCTACGAGAATTAACACAATAGTAGTCATAATAACGGGGGTGATTCTGAATAGTTTGGTTTGGAAAATTAAGTGTCACATGGGAAGGTTGGAATAAAAGTGTTGATATTACTATTGGGTTGGCAACTAAGTCATTGCCGTTTTTGTTGACGGATTCACTCTATACCTTTTTTTGTTTTGTTAACGTGGCCAGAGCATCTAACCTATATTTTTTTCTTACTGTATGGGCTTCTAGGTTAATTAGTAAAAAATTTTTTTGTTTAGTTCTTTAGTTTTGTTTTTATCCCAATTTAAAAATGAAAGAACAGGACGTGCACTTCCGACACATTTTATTGTATTACTTCCGAAAAGGCAAGAACGCATCGCAAGCACAAAAGAAGTTATGTGCCGTATATGGAGATGAAGCCTTAAAAGAAAGGCAGTGTCGAAATTGGTTTGAAAGATTTCGTTCCGGTGATTTTTCACTGAAAAATTCACAACGATCTGGCCGCCCACTCGAAGTGGATGAAACCCAGATCAAGGCCATTATCGATTCAAATCGTCACAGCACAACACGAGATATTGCAGAGAAGCCCAATGTGTCGCATACATGCATTGAAAAAAATGAAAAACCCTTGGTTATGTCAAGAAACTTGATTTATGGATCCCTCACCAGTTAAAGGAAATTCATTTGACGCAACGGATTAGCATCTGTGATTCGCCGCTACTGAAACGCAATGAGAATGAGAATGATCCATTTCTGAAGAACCTAGTTACTGGCGACGAAAAGTGGATAGTTTATAACAATGTTAATCGCAAGAGATCATGGGTGAAGCAAGATCAACCAGCCCAAACGGTATCAAAAGCAGAGATTCACCAAAAAAAGATTATGCTGTCAGTGTGGTGGGATCACAAAGGAATTTTGTATTTTGAACTCATGCCGCAGAACCAAACGATAAATTCAAATGTGTATGTTGAAGAACTCGAAAAACTGAAAGAAGGATGCAATTGAAGATAAGCGGTCGGCATTATCAAATCGGAAGGGTATTGTTTTCCATCATGATAATGCAAGGCCCCACACATCTTTGGTTACTCGGCAAAAATTATTGGAACTGGGTTGGGATGTTTTGTCACACCCACCATATAGCCCTGACCTTGCGCCTTCGGATTACCATTTGTTTCGTTCCATGCAAAACTCTTTAAATGGTAAAATTTTTAACAACGCGGGTGATGTCGGATCACACCTAATTCAGTTTTTTAATAGCAAAGACCAGACATTTTACGAAGGGGGACTTTTTACTCTGCCAGAACGATGGAAGAAGGTCATCGACAAGAACGGCCAATACCTAATTGAATAAAGTTATATTTTTAAACAAAAATTCCGAATTTGCCTTCTTATTTGAAATCGGCAATGACTTAGTTGCCAACCTAATATATCTGGTCTGGTTTAGGAGTATGGGTATTTATCTGGAATCCTATGGACATTTTCTAGGTTTTCGGAACATTAATGCACGAAAGGTTCGTTGCTGGCACTATCACACTATAGTTCTACGTTTACACACATTCCTGTATCTGAGTTCACGGGGTGTACGATAGACTTACCTCCACATGGTGCACCCTGGGCAACGTATACTCATACGGCAAAAAGTCTATTAACCGACAGTTGACTTCAAATTACCATGACTCCGCTGTATGTCATATTTGAATACTTCCACATTACTCTCCTTACCTTTTTGCTACCTTTGTGTTTGCCTCTTTTACAACTTTGAAGCACTCTTCTGTTCCCCACCCCTCTCGACTTTTTCACTTTGATGTTCCTTCCCCTCTGTGAAGCCTGAAGTCAACTAAAGGGCTAATGATAATCATAAAAACGCCTGCCATTTGATATTAATAAATAAACCTTTAAATGCAGCCTTCTTTATGTTATTGCAGATTCGTGCAACAACAAACCTGCGAAGTGTCTGCGCATTTACTATAATTGTTATAGGTATAAAAATTCTTATTGGCAAAATCCCAAAATCACTTTAAAAAATGTTTCTTAATGCTCATCTTGAACACAACGCTAACCGTGTGATTGATCGAAGCGTTCTCAATGAATTCCTAACTCGGTACTTTATGCTTAGCAGATGTACACTGAATCCCTATTGCAAGCAAGATTTCGAATTTCGTAGGCGATTTTTAGACCAAACGTTAATTCACGAGACGGAGGGTGGATTGATCTCAATAGCTCTTCATTTGTTCAACCAATGATTGTAAAGGCCTAGCTTGACTTTCGGACATCTTTCTGTAAAAGCGCCTTCTTCCCAATCTGCCTAACCACCAAAATAAGCAATTTCAACTTGATTTATTGGGACAAATGAGTAATTTCGTCAAGAAAATGGTTCATGCTTGAACATACTCGATGGGCGATCAATTTAGCTCGCTTTTATGCCACTTAATAGAGTACGTGGTTGCACAAAAGATGTAAATATTCTCATCAAAACTCGAAAATTTTTGTACTGCTAAAAAGACATTTGAAGCTAATTGAGTGAGGATAATGTAAACGAAAACTGGTATGCTGAGGGGGGGGGTGAGGGTGGGGGTGGGGGGGGGGGGGGGGG